GGGGTGTTTCATGAACCTTTCGTTTTTAATTTTTTTTTTTTTATGGAACATGGAAAATCGATGTTCGCATCTCTTAAAGCGAACATCTTATTGTGTTGATTGATATTGATGATGTCTAAAGCTCGTTGTCGCTTCCATTTTATTCCGCTTTCATTTGCATTCACGAATGTTATGGTAAGGGGGATGGAAATGGGCCAGAGATGCTTGCTTGAACCGATGGATGATGACAAAGTGAGGGATGTTCATACACAGCATTGCAAATGTGAGAAGGAAAGAAGGCAATAGAAACGACACACATAAGGTCGTGCAGTTGTTTTCTTTTCATTCGTCGACAAATAAGAAGACAAGTCACGCAATATAAATAATTGACATGATATGTTGTTACATTGTTGTCACTCGTAGTAAAAGCAAAAGACGACACACTTTGCAAAAAAAAACCTTTATGGCAACTTCAATCCCAACGTCCAAAAAACAGAACACGCACCCCCGTAATCAACTCCGACACCCAGACACGTCACCCACGGTGACAGCATACTACACGACAACTACGATCGGCACGTGCACGCGGGACGGCACACACAACAACGGCAATGCAAACGACCACCCCATCAAGGACAAGACGCCTCCCTCGTCATCCGCTCCTATTTCTCGCCTGCTCCCCGCGTCGTGTGCTCCGATTTCTTGCCGCGGCCACGTCATCGCAGCCACCTGCTCCACGTGCCTGCCCGTGTTCACTGCGCGCCCATTCGCTCCGCCAGTGCGTCCCGCAGAATGAGCGCATCCCCCGTCAACGACTCCATACACATCGGCCTCGACGGCCGCTGCATCCCAAGATCCACCCTGCGACGCACACCGTCCAGCCCGACCTCGCACAGTAGATTGTCGTCAAAGGGGATCCCCGCGTCGATGACTAAGTTGTGCAGAATCTAGACGACGACGAGCTGCTGCGGCAACGTCTCCATGTTCGTCTTTTGGGAGCGAAGGAACAACCTCCACATCCCCTTCGGTCTGCCGAAAGCCGTCTCAACTGCTCCCCTCGCCGTCTTTTGCGTGTTGTCGAAGTGCAGCTCCAACGGGTGCTGTGAGAGACCGCCATAGGGGACAACTACCCATTCGGAGGGGGGATAACCGTTGTTGCCCAGTAGATACCCGTTCGTCTGCACACCGAAAGGCAGCACGACAGGTGGCCCAGTGAAAAGTTCCCCTGCCTCCGCGCGCGCCCATAAACTCGACAGGTGGACGATCCTCACGTTGTGGCAACTTCCCGGATGTTCGACGAACACATCCAGCACACACAAGTTCAGATCGACGACGACCTGCACCTGGATGGAGAAACGGTGTTTTCTATCGTAGTAGTCCTCCTCGGGGCAATTCGTTGGCTTGTCGATGAAGATGTGGGTGCAGTCGATGCACCCATGGCAATTAGGGAAACCCTTGTCAGCGAAAGCACGCAAGACAACCGCCTTTTGCAGCCCCGTCGGCCACGATATCTTGTCGGGGTACGCACTCAACAACGCCGCAGTTACATCCCGCACAGTGCGCAACCCTGAAGATTTGCCAATGCCGAAGCTGCATGTCCCGCTCTTGTACGTCTCCCCGGACGCTCACCTGTACAAAGCGTACGCGACAATATGGTCGGGCTGGAGGGGCTCCCTATAGAAAGTGACACGCCATTGAAGGAAGGGAGATAGAGCTTCCGCGATCTCTTGGATCACACGTGGCGACATGCGCAACCGTCGCGTCGTCGCCTTGCCGCAGATCCTCCCATATCCCCCCTGTCCGTCGCTTCATCCACCACCTGGGCGTCGCTCTAGGAAATGTTCCACACACCATGGCGTCGCAAATGGCACCAGTGTCCTCTAAGTCCACATTCATGGACTGCAGCGTCCTCTTCCGCCGTGCACGAATGGCCGCTCTCATCCTCCCCTCAGTCCTCTGCAATTGACACCGGAAGAGGATGGCGTTCATGGTCGCTGCCACAAACATCCTCTCCTCCTCGCTCAGTGTGTCACGGCCCGCCTCCCCTTTCATGTCCATGATCGCGGAAATAGGTACTGTCGACGTGGGCGTCGCGAAGTACAGAAGATTCCACGTGTGCCAGGGTGCACAACAACAATGCTGTAAGTGACGACCGGAGTGCACGGCGTAGACGTCGACGACGAAGGTGCGTCTGTGAAGACGACAACGATGGCGATTGTGTGACGGCGTGTTTGCTGCTTTGGATGTGTACATCGACGTGCCGTCAACACGCAGCCCCCACTCCGTACCCAAACGCTTCCGCCGAGAAACATTGTTGCCGCTAGCCGCAAGGGACACCCACTCCGCCATCACTCGCTTGCAGAAATTCGAATTTCAAATTTCAAATCCGGGACTGCGCGCCTTTTTCGTGGCCATTTTTTTTTCCCGCCGCCGACTTTCAAATTCGCGACACCCACCCAAGCTAGACCAAGCACGTCGGCACGGACACACCTTGCTGGACCAACCTCGCCTCCCCCCCCCGAGTCCGCTTGTCGATATATGAAACTGGCCGCGGAAGGCCCCGAGGAATCATCCTCGGGGAACGATTCCGAGGATGAGTGGAACGACGACGCGAATTTCCGCGGGCGACGATGGGAGAATTTCCTCGGGCCCCGAGGACGGCCCGAGGAGTGTTGAACGAGCCCTAGGGCCTTGTAGTCATTGCTAGCGCTGTTGTTGTTTGTTGTGGGCATACGTACATTTGATATATGCTTATTATATTACTACACACCCTCTCAACAAAACAATTTTTTTTATTTATTTTTATTTTTATTTTTATTTTTATTTTTATTTTTGAAGGGCGACAACCTTGAGATATCATCATCGAATTGATCGGCCCGGCCAAGTCCCACTTACCCAAATTCTTAACTTCTGAGTCGTGTGGCGAGGTCCGTTGTAGCCGAACTGGCCAGCCCGGGAGATGCGCGCGACCTTGCTTCGGTCGGCGCTAATACACTCTGCCAAGCGTGAACCGGACGTCGACAGAACCCAAGCTACCGCCAAGGGTGCTACCACCGAGATAGCACTCTGGGGCCCGTTCTCCACTGCGCCTCCGTTGAGAGGTCGGTATGGCGAGGCTAGCCATAGGCAAACAAGGTTGGTAGAGGAAGCACGACCTCCCGACACCAACAGCGAAGAAAAGTTATTGTAGTAAGTTGTGAGAGGTTAGGGAACTTAGAAGAGACAGAGAGAAGAGCATAACCTACAAGCAATCAAGGCAACGCCAGGGCAAGAAGGGATGGGGAGATCCCCCCCCACCGCCCTAATGGAGGAGAGAGACTACAGGGAGGATGAAGATCATCGTCTGAGAGAGCTTTTTGCAGCATGCTTCAATGAGGGAATATTTCCTACAAAAATAGACCCTGGGGAAATGAGCGTGGAAGGGAGGGAGGTGAGATTTAAGTTAAATACGTCATTAGACGATATCAAAGTCAGATGGCTCAAGGAGAGGACGGTCACGATAATGTTCAAAGATGAAGCAAGATACCTGCAGAGGAAGGTCAAGGATGACTTGGTGCAAACGTTCGAGGACGGATGGGTGATAGGGAATCAAGGCCTTACGGAAAACACGAGGAGAGGAAGACTGGAAATCGAAGGACTTGGAGTTGCATAATACATTGCTAAGGCGCGAGAGGTAGCAGAATACATGATCCAAGAGGGACAGGTGGAGATTCAACTTGGAGGCGTCCAGTACAAGATCCTCTTTAAACCTTGGATGACAAGGGTTGAGTTCCGGAACCTCCGAAGACAGGAAGATGAGTCCACTTTTTGGGTTACGGCCCTCCAGATTCCACTGGACGATATGCCCTTCATCTACGCTCAAATAGAGAAGGCAATCGGAAAGATAGTGCTTGCACATCCGACAGATCAAGATCCATGAAGACCAGCATTGGTTAACGCGCGCTTCGACTTGGACTCGGAGGCAAGGTTGAATATGAAGGATAAAATATGGGTGGAAACGACCAAGGGCGATACGTTGGAAATTCGACTTGCTACGGCAGGTGCGATGAAGTGCAGAAGGTGCAGGCAGTTTTTTCACCTGGAACAAGACTGTCGAAGAACGGGAGGAGGGGGAAGCCAGGGAGGCGGGAACGAATACCCCCAGCTCAAAGACAAGCGCAAAACCAAGGGCAAGGAGGCTCGGTGGGGAATGGAAGCTAGCAAGGCAACCAAGGGTATCAAGGCCCTTTGGGCCCAAGGCCAGCAACCCCAGCAACATCAGGGGCAGCGAACAGAAGAGTGGAGATGAGATCAAATCCCACGTTCTCCCCGTCAGTGGGGGTAGGGCTACAGGCTGGCCAAAGAATTGAAGCTGCAGGACAACAGTTGGGAGTGGCCGGGCCGGGAAGACCCCAACCTTACTATGGCATCCCATCTCAACAGGCAATCGACATCTTCAATGGAACATGGCTGACGGGTACCAACCTGATGGATGGATCGATGATCTTCAGTTAGTGGTCAGGGATGTCGGGCGGACAAGGGATAGGGAACTTGGCGCCCCAAATGGGAATGTCCAGATTACCGACGGGCCAAGGGATGGGTTTCACTGGGGCCATGGGAGCCCCGGGAATGCAGATCCCGACACAACAACAATCGGGAGTAGGAGGAACTTACACGCCGGTTCAACCAGGAAGGAGCGTGTTGGATGGATGAGCGAGGCAAGAAATGGGGCACGAAAGACAAAAGTTGAAGGAGATCGCATGACGATCGAGAGGACTGTGGGCGGGGAAACAGAGAAGACTAAGCATGACAGATGTCACCCCAGAAATGTCAGATGCATTGCGGGCGCCAAGATAGGCGTCAGAGAAGTCAGTAGGCCAGGACATAGGGATCGGGACACCAGGTAGCAAGACGACTAGGGACAGAAGACTTGCTTGAACAGCAAGAGGACAAGGATCGGAACTGTTGCAGTTCTTGGTCCCCCTCCTATGTACAATGATCTGGAACGTATATTGGGTGGTGATGTGGCAGAGGGACTCGGGAGCTCCGATGTTGTTCGGACAAGCAGTCAGCGAGATGCCATCCCCCAGGGAAATCGTAGACTAACTGAAGAACCTCTATTTAGAGGCATTTCCCGCAAGGATAATCCCGGATATGCCCATGCCGCGAATCCTCTTCGGACATGCCAGTAATAAAGTAAAACTTTACGTGTCGATCGTAGACGTGAGACTGACAGAGGGGAAAATCACGAAGTTGGAAGCAATGGGCATGAGATTATCGCCCCTGGCGATCTTTGCCGAAGCGAGGAAACAAGAGCTAAGCAGCATTACGATATCGCCGCTGATGGTTACGACAAAAGTCCCGACTGAGATGAAGATCAGACTACCGAGAGAAAAGAAGTTGGAATCGGTCTTCATCCGCATCGCCCTTACATTGGATTGGTTAAGCAGAGGAGCAACCTTATCCCAGATCCAAAATCAACAGGGAGGAGCAACCCGGAATGGTTAGACAACGAGTTGCGACATGAAACCTTCTGGGGATAGGGGATACGTCCGGTAGGCATAAGAGGTTTAGGATTAAGGTTGCACGGGAATAAAATCTCAGTTGCCTGTTAAATGAAGAGAAGATTGATGGGTTAGGAAGATGGTGGGATGGACCACAGACCTGGGCAGCAGCCCAGGGGTCCAAGGGAGGAATGGGGATAGTAGTCCACCGGGACTTAGGACGATATATAGTGGACTACTACATGGACATCTGTGGCAGATGGGCTTGGATTGTATTCAAGTAGGGGGGAATGAAATGGGCTGTAGTATCAGTCTACGCACCGGTGAGCAGAAAAGAACGCTGCATGTTCTTGGAGGATCTGAAGGTTATGCTACCAGATGTGGATGATATAATCATTGGGGGGGATTGGAACTCCTCACTGGACTCATTCCCCGATCAACAAGCAAGGGGCTGTGGAAAGGATGTGTTAGCCTTGGTGGACTTCATGATAGACTTGGATCTGCACGATCCGTTAAGAGAGCTGCACCCGATTGATAGAGGATATACATGGTTTTCTCACCGGGGCAAGGGGCGGAGGCTGGACTTCCTCCTAACAGGGGGAAGGATTCACAAGGCGATAATAAAGGTCCAAACACAGTTCAACCCAGTATCTGACCATAAACCAATGGTGGGAACGTTGTCTCTGGGTCCGAAGCAGGCTAGAGGACGAGGCTACTTCAAGTTGAACACAGTAAACCTCAGAGATGAAGGACTAACTAAATGGACACAAGACTTTTGGCACCCATGGGAGGTGCAGAAAGATAACTTCTCAACACTGGCGGAATGGTGGGAAGGGGGATCTAGGATTATGTCCAATCTGCTGAACGTGTTCTCGCATATCCTAGCTGCAAACAGGAACAAGAAGGAAATGAGGTGTTGGCGAAGGGTTCGGGAGGCAGAAGAAAGGATGAAGGAACATCCAATATCGGAACTCACCTGGGTAAGGAGAGAGGGAAACACCTGGCCATATGGGATGCATTGCAGCATGAGAAGTCAGAGCAGTGGGCGGAGAGGCTAAAAGTAAAGGGTTTGGAAGTGTACGACAAAATGTCCAAAGAGTCCTTCCAAAAGCTAGTTCCGGCGAGAACGACGCAAGTGATAAAGGAGCTTAAGCATCCTTTCGACAAAGATGCCCCGACGGCCACCCAACCAAATGAGCTTTGCAACTATGCGGTGATGTACTACAGGGACATCCTCACCTCGCGGAGGATAGGGGAAGGAGCCAACTTGGACCTAATGTTAGGTGCAGTCCACTGGGTAAACACAACAGTGCGCCTCCTGACGGAGGCAAGATTGGATTTGGACCGGCCCATAACCAAAGAGGAAGCAGAGGAGGCGTTCAAGGTGATGGCAAACAGCAAGATAACCGACAACGACGGACTGCCAGTAAAGTTCTACACACAGCATTGGGAAGTACTTGCGGAAAGCCTGATTGCAGTTTACAATGAGATACAGATTGGAGGCAAATTCCCAGTTAGCGCCTGCAGAGGGATCATCTCGTTACTGGTCAAGAAGGGGGATACTAATGAAATCAGGAACTGGAGACCGATCTCACTACTGAACATCTCTTATAAGATTTTTGCGAAAGTACTTGTGAGAAGGTTGGGGAGATATTTGCCTCGACTGGTTGCTGATGATCAAGCCGCCTTCGTCCAAGGAAGGTCGATCTATGACAACATTGTAACATTGGTGGAGGCACTTGAAGTAGTCAACCAGGCGAAGTTGGAGGTCACAATACTAATGCTTGATATGGAAAAATCATACAACCGGGTTAATTGGTCGTATGTTTTATTCACTATGAAATTGATGAATTTCGGTGACCCCTTCTGCATGTGGGTTGTCGCCCTGTACTCTCCGTCTACCGCATCAGTAATGGTCAATGGTCATATTTCGTCCCCGTTTAAACTGTCAAGGTCTCTGTGCCAGCGATGTCCACTAGCGCCGCTTCTCTCTGTTGTCCACTTCAAGTTAGAAGTCTTGTTGAATAATATAAGGTCTCATACGCAGGTGGTAGGGTTGGAAACAAACCAGATGGTTTGCAAGGTGAAAGCCCTTGCGGACGACCTGTTCGCAATCTCGGCTAACATAGTAGAATCAATGACAGTCTTGCATTTCTGCCTAAAACAGTACGAGGAGCTTTCAAAAGCTGCAATTAACTGGCAGGAGTTTGTTTATTTTCTCCCAGAACAATGCACATCGGCGGTGAATTGGGGTACGAAACGAATCATGCAGGACGAGTCGGAGCGCTTCCTCGGAGTGCAAGTGGCCCTCTCCTCGTGTGCGATGCGTCAAAAAGAAATCTTGCAATCTAAAATCATGCAGAGACTGAGCACTTGGGGTCAGGCTTCGCATCTGTCCTTATATCGCCGAGCACTAGTGGTCAACGCAACCCTGTTTGCCCTCTTGTGGTATGTAGGGAATATCAAGCCACGGTCAAAAGGAAAGCGGCTAGGTTCATTTGGCGTCCATTCGCTGAGGAGGGACAGGAGGTGATGTCGAAAGTAGCCTGGGATCTGATATGCGCACCGAGACCGGAAGGGGACTGAGCATAACTGACCCGGGCAGAAGAAATACCCCAATGCTAGCCAGATGGGTGGTCCGTGCTATGTGCTTAGAGAAGGATCAACACTGGGTCTCCTTAGCACAGAGGATTCTGGTTAGGGAATGGAGCCCAACTAGGAGCTCAGATGTTTGGGCGTGCGTCTGGATCGATTCCTTTTTAAGGAGAAGAGTGAAATCAGAGTTATGGGCGATAGTGCTGGCGGCCTGCAGGAAAGTGAAGCCATAAATGGTTGCACACCCGAGTACAAAGGAGGAGGTTCTCTCACAAATAATCTTTGAAAAACACCTCATCAGGGACACAACAGGTTCGATGCTGATGGGAGATGCTAAGCCAGGCAACTTTGGTAGAAGGTGGGCGGAGAAAGTAGTGCGTCTAAGAGATTTATGGGATTAATGGAGGAACAACTGTGAGGAACTCGAAGAAAAGCTCAGACCGAGGAAATGTTCCAAACAAAGAAAGTTGCAAGTAATAGAAACAATCCCAGATGAATGGAAGCAGATTCTATCACCTGAATTTGTTAACCCATCAGGAACCTGGTACGAAATGAGCACACAGGGGGATAACTCGGAAAGAGTCTTCCTCAAAATAGTTGAGCTTGGTGGCTTCAGAGGTAGAAGGTTTCAGCAGTGGACCCCAACAGGCCCAGAAGGGGTGCAAAGGCGACTAGAAATACAGGAAACACTGATCTCGATACCAACTGGACATATCCAGGAGGTGAGAGTCAGAGAAACCCTAGACATGGAGGGAGACCGGCAAGTGTCCCCATGGAATGGAGGAGAAGCTTTGGCAAACTTAAATGCCGACCCAAACCAGTGGTGTTGGCAAGGGAGAGGTCGCCAAGGGGAGAATGTGAGAGTGGACGAATACTCACTGGAGCTGGGCTATAAGGTACAGACATCTGCTTGAAAACCAAGTACGATAGCAACGGACAGGTGGAGTCGCGTCCTAACGGAAGAAACAGAGTAGATTCAACGGGCATTGAACAAATGTTGGCAGAAGTTGGTACTAGATGCTCCAGATACTAGAGTGGCCTCGCTCCTATGGATGGCCTCGTTACTGGCCACTCCCTCAGCAGTATCCCTGTTGAGTCGAGGGATAAAAATGGATCCGCAACACAAAAGGTGTCTCTGGGCTTTCGAATCGACGGTTCATATCTGGTGGGATTTCCCAGCCTCCAGAAGAATTTGGAACTGGTGGATAACTCAATGGGAGACCTGGACAGGGGAGTTGAAGTGGGACAGGAAGTGGGTATTACTGGGAAGAATCCCAGACAACCTCTATCCACACAGATGATGGGGCTATGTAGCTCAGGCAATCCGGGCAGTGGGATACTGGGTAATTTGGATGGAAAGGAACAAAGCACAATTCGAAATCTTCAGACCCCGGATTAAGAATGACACTGCTGAAAAGAGGAGTAGCGCTACGGTCGCGAGCGCATGGGGAACGAACCGGCCAGCGGGCCTGGCGGTCTTGCTACCCAAGACCTCGAGGTTGACGAGGACGATACGAGACGTTGACGCCATCGCAGCATGGAAGGTAGGTTGACCTAACGGGTATGGTGGAGGTGCGGCGACGCGGGCGGGGTAGGAATACCTTGTAGTCAACGAGCGAACGGTGTCCTTGCGAGTGGAGCACTGCGAATAACACAAGGTGATCCTGAGGACGATACCAAGGAGATAGGAGATAATATTTTCAACACACGATGGCTTCTGCAGAGGGGCGGCGACTCGAGGCGGACTGCTGGCTCTCTAGGTTGAACGAATGTCGGGAGAAACTTCGGGCTATGGTGGTTCAACTCTCCTCCCACCCCCTGTCTGGTCTTGAGGTTGAAGGGGGAGCAACCTCTGTAACCGGATGGGTGGAGGCCATAGTGCAGCGCATGTTGGAAATCAGCGAGTCTTTCGAAGAGGGGCCTGCCATGGAGATAGATGCCTATATTGACTGGCACCGAGAAAACGATATATGGAGCGATTGTCTTCAGCTTCAAGCCGAAGCACGTGCGTGGGGTGTGGGGGTAATTAGGAGCTCCCAGGCAGCCGGATTTGCAACTTCGCCACTATCATCAGCAGTATCGTCGAAGGTATCAACAACAGAATCAACGACAGCATCATCAACAACGTTAACAACAACATTAATAACAACATCAACAACAGCATCAACAATGGTAGCATCAACAACAAGTTTGACAACAGTGCTTATGACTACGACATCTGCAGAATTGCGAACATCAAAGACTGCAACAAGTGCCCCAGTGTGCATCACGGAGATATCAAACGCATGGGGAGCGATTTCTACTCTAACGCCGGACCCGGTGGGCATCATGGTGACTTCTTCTGAAACGGGGTCGGCATCAATGATCCATCTAGTATCAAGTTCGTTCGCAATAACACCGGGAGTGTTTGCTGCTCCGTCGGACGATCCAGTGGGTATAACGACGACATCTCACGAAACTGATCTATTATCGACTTCATCGACAACAGTAATAATGATATTCTCCACCGTGGTTGTGTCATTGGTTAGAAATGAGCGGGTCACGTGGTCCCTTGTGTGGTTACTGATGGGGGTAGGTCAGGAGACGGAATCGTTGATCCCGTGGGTGGCATTTTGTTTCTTCAATCGTCAAGTCTGGGTGGTGTTTTGAAAGTGCTTGGGATAACTTGACTTGTGTTTCCAATTGGCTCTAGCCTGTGGAATGGATTAATTTTGCCTTGTTGGAAGGTCATCTGCTTCTATCTGATTGCCTGGTCTCGATTGATCTCGTTGATCTCATCGATATGGATCTATGCGGGAACTGTGACTCTCACATAACTTGTAATATGCTGAATTCTTCCTTTCTTGATTTGCTTTAAGTTCATTTCATCTTGAGGATCGTGTGAACTGTTGGGCATAGTCACTTAGGGTTTTGACTGAGATTCAGGGTGTGCTGACTTACTTTTGCCATGCTATAATCCCCCCCCCCCCCGGTTTTTGATTTGTAGGGTTTGATCATTGCCGGTTTGCTATAGTAGGGCAGAATTTGATTGTCTATGAGACTGGGTTAATCCTTCCCTTCAGGGGAAGCAATCAATGCTCAGTGCCCATTGTCTATTCTCGTTGACTAGGGAAGTTGTCTCTGCAGGAGCAGTGGCCGAGGTTCTTTCAGCCCTAATGGGAAGAGGCGTGTGTTTGCGTTGTATTTCAATTTGCAATTTGAGCCTTGGGCACTGGGCCCCTGTTCAAGAAAAAAAAAAAAAAAAAAAAAGGAAGACCGTGCCTGACCCAGAGATGAAGGCCACGTTCAAAGCAAGGATTCGAAGAATGATAGCAGCCGATTGGAGGAGGAAAGTACCTCGGGGCAGAGGAAGGAGCAACGGAATCAGATGGTTTCAGGATACTTGGGCCCAAGGTGGGAAACTGGTTACAATAGGAGGGGCAAGGGGTTTGCAGTATTCGGAGTGGCTAGCTAGCTACACTTACCAGGACACTTGGTATTCATCCGCGGTAGGAGGCAGAAGAGAAGTGGGGTAGGGAGTGTAGACACTGTCGAGAAGTAGTTGGAACTGGGATAGGTTCCAACCGTCGGATAGGCGGTCTGAGGGTAGCAGTTGCAGTAGGCTAGAGTACAATTAGGCAAGGCTCCACTTTGGATTGTATGTGGCTTGCAAGTGGTTGTTGGTGTGTTTTGTTATGGAAAAGGAAACTTGATCATAAAAAGATGCATGTGGATGGCAATAACCTTTTTGGCATGTTTGTTTTTAGAGGAGTTGTTGAGCACAGTGCTCACTGAACGAGTGCTGGTTCTTTCCCAGTGGTCCAGTCTCAATGTTGACTTTTAATGGAATTCTCATTTTTTCCAAAAAAAAAAAAAAGAATTGACCGGACCTAGGTAAAAGCTGAGGTGGTGAAAGCCCCCTGAAGACGACCGCGTGGTTGCGTTCGAAACCGGTCGGGGTAGCCATACCCACCGGCATATGTATTGTTTTTGTTGATTTGAATACATCGATACTTGGCAACTTTCGTTTGTCGTTGTATTGGGTTGTGACGTGTATGTTTCATCATCTGTCACTTCACTCTTTTTCATACCTCTGACCGCACATGTGAACCTGCTTGGATACGTTTGCCCGAGTTTGAGTGAGCATGCTGTCCTTCTGGACGTGATTACTAGTTACGATATTGAAGCAATCAAGAGCAGACTTGTTTCGAAGTTTGAACAGCGAACGGAGTTCACTGAAGTATTGACCAAGCGAATTCGGGCGCGATGGCTTACCGTGGTTACGACAGAGACCGGAGAGATGATCGYCGTGAGGGACGACGTGAAGACTGGAGGGACGGACAACGAGGAGGGGGACGCGACTACTACCAAGAGGAGCGGCACGACATACAACGGGAGCGAGGGGAATCGTCTGGAGAAACCCGTAGAAGGGCGCCACCTACATGTTTTGAATGCGGCCAAGTTGGCCACTATCGCAATCAATGTTGGAAACTGACGAGCGAATGAGGGTCACGACCAGGAGATCGTCGAGCAGGACAACCGGGAGGTTCACGCGAAGCCTCACCGGACCGCTCAAAGTTGAAGAAACAGATTGAAGAGCTGGGCACGTCACTAGCATCGATGCAAGGGCATATTGAGCAGGAGAAGCACAAGAGGATCGAGAAGGAGAGGCGGAAGCAGGAGAAGATGGAGAAACAACAGCGGACCATAGCTGAATGGGAAGCACAAGAGAAGAAGCAGGCACGGAAAAACGCAAAGATTAGAGAAACCGAGGAATTGAAGATGTAGATGCGGAAGGAGATGAGGATGGAGGCTGCATTAGTCGCGAGTGAACTGCGAGAACAGATATCCGGAGGTTTCTGTGAACAATTGACGGACGAGATGCTCAAGGCGCTAGCAACAGCATCCATCGATCGGAAAGGGAAGAAGAAGGTAGCATCGCCACCGTCTCCAGGACCGTCGACTACAAGTGGCAACGAATCGGGCGACGTGATACCATTGAAATGATGTACTCGGATATTGACGCTTAAGGATAAGCGTAAGAGAAGCACCGAGAAAACGGTGGGCAATAGCCCACCGATGATGCAATCAGCGAAGAACGCCGCGGGCGACTGGAGTGAAACCCGTGCGACTCGCAGCAAAGTTACAACGCACGACACCAAAGACGAAGACGAATAAGACTTCGCCAAGATTTACACCGAGAATGGGTACTCCACGGACGAAGATTGCTGCCACGGCGGGAACGGCGGGAAGATCGCAGTTCATTTGTGAGAACATGCGCACACTAGCGAATCTGGGTGTCGAAGATCTCAAGAAGATTTGTCGGAAGGAGGACGTGGATTACGAGAAGAAGACAATTGCCGCCATGAACATTGCAAAGAAGAGAGCAATGGTGGCTTATGGAAGTGAAAAGGAGGAGGTTGGCAGTAGTGATAACGAGACGGAAGGGATTGAGCAGGGAAGTGCCGATGAACAAGTCGAAGAAGAACCCGAAGCATGAAGTTTCGATGATACGAATGGTTTGTGGACTCTATGCAATTGTCTGGTGGAATATCGTCGGGGAAGGACTTTTGATACGCGAGTGGAAAAACTTTACCGACTGACAGTTATGTTGCTTACTCTAGCGGATATGATAAGATGGTTGACGAAATGCATCGACTCGTGGGTACGGATGTACGAGGAAGAGGGGATCAGTTTTGTTGAGGGTACGAATGTAGTCTATACGTTAATCTCGCCTCGCTGCAAGGCTCAGTACGTCGGACAAACCAGCAGGCACATTAATGTACGTTGGCGTGAACATACGTCACGTTGCGACCGAAGGAGTAAGGATACTCACTTATATCGTTGGTGGCGGAGTTTCGAATGGGAGTCATACGTACTAGTGCCCTTGGCTACCTGAGCCGAGGATAAACTGGTCGCGTACGAGCAAGTTTATATACACCAATGGAATCCTTCGTTAAATACGAACGGAGTTCGTAGGAGAAGGAAGCGTCGCAACGCGAAGCGTATGGGAAAAAGTGAGCGGGAAAGGATTCGAGGGGAGGAGGGAGTGACGCAGAAAGGTGGGTACGTCAAACCAGTAGGGATTATATGTGAGGGATTCACGGAGGAGAAGCTCGATATCGTCAACACACTCGCAAAACTGGATAAAAGGGGTGTGCGTAAGTTTATACTGACATCCATCGGGGGTAACTGCTGGCTAGATGGGTGGAAGAAGATTAGGAAGGCCTTTGGAACGTCAACCGTCACATGCGAAAGTGGGACGATGACGCTGGCAAAATGTGAGCAGTATTTGGAGCAGGGTGGATGTGTGACGGTGAGATATCTGCGACGATGGCATAGTCGGAGTAAGATTCGGAAGCATGAGTTGATCAAAACATTGCGTGATCCCAGGCGGATTAGTGACTTGAAGCACCGAGACACAGAGGAGTTGTTCCGTTTGTATCGAGCGGCTAAAGAGTTTCAGAAGAAGTTCACAAGATCGTATCTGAGAAGAGTAATCGGAAGGGTTATCAAGGATGTTTCGGGTTGGATCATGGGGGTAAACATTAATGTTAAACTGAAGTTTGACGATCGTGTGAAGTTGGTGGAGGTTCGAAAGTTGGTCAACGATAAGATTGGGGAACAAGCGCTGCCATCATGCATGATGAAGAGAGCACGTAGCAAGGTGAGGATCGTTTGGACAAGCAATCCATCGGTCGCCGACTTGTTACATAATCAACGGACGTATGCGCGTGCAGACGTCTGTACCTGCACGTGTGCAGGATTACCCTATCCAAGGATAGGAGAACATGTGCGATTCAGACTGCGTGATATGGACGGTGTACACCCGATGTTGTGCAACGCGAAGAATATACCGAGGACATCATATCCGGATCGAAGTACGTTGTTGAGACGCGAGATTGAAGAAGCTTTCAATAAGTGGCCGAATCGAGGATCGAAGACGTGTGTGACGACAGTTGAGCATGTAAGCAATTGTTTGATTAGAACGGTGGCGCAACCCGAGAAGTACCTGCAGATGGGAACGCTCAACGCGCTGAAAAACCAACTGACTGGGTTGGTATGTTCCCCACTGGATAGGAATCCGGGCGAGACCCTCGTGATCTGCCCGGCCCTGTACCATACGGCGATGCTCTCCACCTTTGTATGCAACAGCGGTTATAAGATCATGGAGATAACCGAGGAGGTGATCGTCGAGAAGATGAGTAGGGAGGTGACATAAGCCGGGCTGAAGAACTTCGTTAAAATCGACAAGAAAGGAACATTCGGTTGCGCTTACGTTCAGCCGAAGCACAAAGATCTGGACAGATACCGACCAATCTGTCCATCCTACAGCGAGCCGACTGTTAAAACCTCGAGGGCGGCAGCTAAGGCTTTGAACCATCTACTATATGCATTACCAATGAAATGGCACTTCAATCTGCAGTCAGTGACGGACCTGGTACCAAGAATCGAGAAGATCAACAAGCAGATCCAACGATTTCCAAGGCAGGATCTGCAAATATCCACGATGTCATATGACATCAAGGATATGTTTAGCAAGCTACCACACATGGACATCATGGAAGCAGTTGATTGGATCGTCGATCATTTTCAGAGTAGAGGAAAGAAGTCAGTAGGAGTGAACACTAGAGGACGCGGGAGCTCTTTCGGGCGTACCACTGGAGCTGATCACTGGAGGAAAATCGAGCTGGAGGAATTGAGGCGTTTTGTAGGTTTGGATCTTCAGCACACCTATATCAAGGCGACTGGCGTGCTCTTGAAACAGGTGGCTGGAATTCCCATGGGGAAAAGTACCAGCCCACCGCTGGCGTGCATCATGTGTGCACACGCTGAGTTCAAATTTCTCTGTGAACAAAGGAGTCAGCGGGCCAACATCTTCGGGATCCGGCTGATTGACGACGTGAGTGTCGTTATTGCATCCAAGAAGAAGGACAGGAGGATTAGTGAGCAGATTCGTGCAGATTTCGAAAAATGCTACCCAAGGAACCTTACGCTGAAGCGCACGGATGGAGGGAAAAAGAACTGGGATTTTCTCGGATTGGAAATGCGGCAACAGGACGTGACGCCATTCCTCTCCTATGTACAGCTCTCGAAGAACGAAAAGACAGTATGGACGGAAGAAAGATTGGAATTCAAAATCGGACAGGAATACCACTCGTGGGGGAGTAAACGGCAGAAAAGTGCAGTGATCCCAAGTCGACTGCATAGAATTGAGAGGAACACGATTGTGCGCAACGAGTTACCAGACAAAGTGTTGACGCTGTCCAGGGAACTGAGGATGATGGATTTCCCTCAGGAGTTTTTCCTGCATGTTCTGAAAAGTTTCTCAAGAGGCAAAGATGCAATCTGGGGCCACATTGCTACATGGTCAACTGGGTAACCATTGGAGTTCTTTAGAAACTGGAAGTGATGGGGAAGTGAGTGGTAGTTTGTCTGCAGCGTCCAGGTGATGGTCTGTGGATTGGTAGAGTACTGGGCAATGTATGTAATATGAGTGTATGGAACCTATGTAGGATTCTGAGAACGTAGGCGGCAAGGCATGTACAGTAACATGTTAACTGGATTGTGTACTTTGAAGCGCGTAAGCATAGGACATAGTGATAGGGCTTTGCTGCTGCATGGATTTGTGTGGTGTGACCGCAGCATGGAACATGGAATGTGTCTTTTTGACGAATGTTACCTGAGGACATAGTGATAGGGGTCTCATTACTGCAGGGTATTGGTGTGGTGTTGGTTTGTCGAGTTCTACCTGCAGTTTGGAGCACTACTGCATGGTTTGGGTGTGGGGTTAACTGCATGGTGTGGTGTGGTTTGTTTTGTCGGGTTCTGACAACGTTTTTAGGCTAAGGGTGCTAAGGGTCTCGAATTTGAACAGGAACAGGGTCAGCAGGTAGGCTATCTTCATTGCCCCTGGGGCACTGCTCTGGACCGTTTTCCTGATAGCGGTCGCGAGACTGGGTCTATATCAACAATAGGCGGTAGTTTGTCGGTCTTTTCCGGGTCCTACGTCGCTGACACTCCGGCATTTCCGGAAATGTCCGGAAGTGGACGTGACCGCGGGGGAGTGTGGAACGAAGGACTAAGTGTGAGGGAGAAGCTGAGGTGGTGAAAGCCCCTGAAGACGACCGCGTGGCGGCGGTCGAAACCGGTCGGGGTAGCCATACCCACCGGCATATGTGCTGTTTTTGTTGATTTGAATACATCGATACTTGGCAACTTTCGTTTGTCGTTGTATTGGTTTGTGACGTGTATGTTTCATCATCCGTCACTTCACTCTTTTTCATACCTAGGTAATTCAGAGTTGTGGTATTTCACTCATTTGCTCTCATCAGAGTTCAAACTCCGGCTTCTATTTCAAAAAAACAGTTCAGCAGTGTACCAACAGAGATAGGCCAGCTGGTAGAACAGGCTTTTTTTTTTATTATATAGAACAGGCATTTTAGAACAAGGGCAGTCCGGTTTCAGCATTTCGTGCGAGTGAGTTGGTGTAACAATTCGCTGGAAGATTGGCGGCTGGCAAAAAAAAAAACAAAACCCATTCGACCAGGTGCCACATTGGCGGCATAGCCGACATAGCATGTAGCCGGCGTAGCTGATATAGCCGACATAGCCGAATAAGTTTTGCACAGCATCTCAGCATTGCCACTCTTTGTATAACTACGTTGTCGGCATAGCCAGCCGCTTCCATTTGTGCAGGCTAGGCTATCGGCGGATAGCAACAAATCCGTATAGCCGTGTAGCCGGTTACCATATAGCCCAATAAGATCTGTAACTGTATAGCCGTATAGCCATAGTTGTCTAGTTCTATAGTCGTATAGCCACATGGGAACATAAAAGCCCTGTAAGATCTGTAACTGTAAGAAGCACAGAGGATAGACGTGCTATTTTTGTTTTGTATAGTTGTATAGTTAGTTGTCTATTTCTGTAGTCATATAGCGACATGGGAACATAAAGGGATATGGCCGCAGCTTGGGAATCTTCTTTTTTTTTTTGTTTTTTTTTTTTTGGGGGGGGGGGGGGGGTACATCACAGGTGGACCCTCTGACCTGGGCCGATGATGCCTCGTTCAGAGGTCTTACCTTCCTCTTTTGGGAGGGGTGCCAGGCCCTGTTCTCGGCTTTGGTCGGAGTGCCTGAATCATATGGCACTGACTGCCTTAAAAAAAAAACAAAAGAAACGAAAAAAATAGGAATCTGCGCAGGGTCTTTCACAAACTTGTGACACAACTTACTCTTTCGTCAGCAGTGGTCCAACGATGGGGCTGTCATTTGCAAAATCAAGTCTTGGATTCGGACAATGATCATAGTCGACTGGGTCAGACGGGCTCAACGAGCCTCAACGCGAAGAGGACGGCACTGGTTCTTAGTCACTTGGGCAAGAGGCAATCAGCTCGCTGCCATAACTCAGCAGGGCAAGCTGCACATTTCCCCCTGGCTTTCAACATAGACGTCTCTCCCACCCAACCGCTTCGAATCCCTTTCCTTGCTCCCTTCCCCGTTTTCCCTCCACCACACTCGCTCCCCTTCCCCTGTCCTATTCCCACCATCAATTCCTCAGTTCTCCAACTTTCGTGGTAGAGTTTACAGATGAACCAGGGCAGCTCGGTTCTGGTTCTGATCACAGTAGGTCAACAGGGGAGGAGGGTGGAGAGTGCCACGGGTTCACAGCGAACTTAGGCTGAGTCCTAGTTCCAACCGGTCGTTTTTAGGCCGGTTTTTCAGGCCATTTTAGGCCTGTGTATTTCTAGGGTCACTACGATTCTTAGAATTAGGAACAGTGGTTTCTTTGACCTGGGGCAAGGTCCCACTTGCACGGATTACGAGAATCTGGCCGTTGATCTTTGCAATCTACGGTCAATTTCGCTTAATTCGTGTAAATGGGACCTAGCCCCTGGTATTAGTATCGTTTGTAGCACAGGCGTATAGAGAAGTTTGGATTAGAAGTTCGAAGTCTTAGCGTTAGTACTTGCAGGGAAGTAGGTCTTATGCTGGGGACAACTCCGGGTTGAATTGTGAGGCCCCCGGCCTCCGGTTATCTGATGTTTTGAAATCAACAATGACTGAGTTAAAAAAAAAAAAAAAAAACAGTTTGTGACAAAGAAAAAAAGAAAAAACTCCCTGTTCATAGCCAGCGAAGTGGACATAGTCAACACGCCATAGCCGGCGAAGTGGACATAGTCGCCACGACATTGGCGACGAAGCCGACATAGCTTCATAGCCGCCGAAGTGAAGATAGCCGAAACGTCATAGCCGTCGAATTCGACATAACCAACTCTTTCTGCCCTCTCACGCGCCGGGGCTGGCCATTGGGGATCGCTCCACTACTCTCGAAATGTGCAAACCGAGAGTGAATCTTCCGCTAGAACATGGAAAGGTACACCACCATCATTGTTTTTTTATTTTTTTATTTTTTTTGGTGCGTGTCGAGAGTAGTGGAGCGAGGCCCACGCATTGTCTTCCCCGCCCACGTGGTCCTGCCGCGGACGTGGCTGGCGAAGAGTGCATGATCGTCGACAAAGGCTGTACTGCTCAGGAACCTGGAAATCTCCGACAGAATTTGTCCGTAATTGCGGTCCCATACGTCCACAAAAGGTCTGAGTCTGAGCGCGCCCACCGTACTCGGGGCACAAGGCTGTCAAAAAGTCGAAGTCGAAATCGGCTGCAGTTTTTTTTTTTTTTTTTTTTTATATGCTGAAAGGCGCTCTTTTTTTTTTTTTTTGACGTTAGGCGCTCATTTTGATACACCCCCGCCATGTCACGGTCGTCGCACGGTCGCACGGTCGTCGCACAGTGAGGACATACTCACACGGGGAATTTCTTACCTCTTTTTTTTGGACGCAATTGCGGCCCGATGCGTACAGGTACGGGTGTCGTAAACGCGGTCAGATTCATTTAAGATAGTGCTGATGTGAGTACGCCCTGATTGCAGGGGAAACGGAACCTACCCGTCTCAGCGGCCGTTAGCGTTGAGCGAAAGGTAGGTGGGCGACGTGCCGCGCTAGCGGCGTGGCCTGGCCGTGCGCGGCGCTTCTGTCGCCCATTCGGTCGGCAGGAAGTGACAGCGTCACTTGGGAGAGAGCATTCCTCTCCCCTCTCCGCGCGTTCGCGAGTGGCGCGCACGCGCTCCTCCCCTCTCCCCCGCTCAACAACGTCCCGACAGCGGGTAGGAAGGGGAAGGTTCCCCGTGCTGTCCGCCGGAGACGACGGGATTCATTTCGTCTTCTTTTAGGCCTGCTGGTCGGGGCATCTTTCCTTCTGTCGCTCGCTGTCTGTCTGTCTGTCTGTCTGTTTCTCTTTCTCTCTCTCTCTCTCTCTCTCTCTCTCTCTCTCTCTCCCGCCCCCCCACATGTCCCTATCAGTCTATATAGGTGCCTATGAATCTCGCCAGATTTGGCATTGTCGGCTTCCCCTGGCCCTCGACCGACTTCAACGGAGGGTCCCCTCATTCGTCGCCATAGCGGGCGGAACTTGGTAGAGACCCCCCCCACCTCAAAGCCGTGACACCCCCTCCCCCCTCCCACCGGCCCCGGGGACCTCTCGAACACAGACACACACACACACACACACACACAGAGCGAGAGCGAGAGAGAGAGAGAGAGAGAGAGAGAGAGAGAGAGAGGCTGCAACAGCGTCATAATCGCATCTCGTAATTGGTGACAGCGGAAGTCGGGTTGAGAGAAGCCGGCAGCTGACCGCTGCGTCCGAAGGAGCCGAGGGAGAGGAGGAGAAGGAGGAGGAGGAGGAGGAGGAGGAGGAGGAGGTGGGGGAGGTGTGCATTCGCCGGCGCGGGATAGGCGGCACCATATCCAGCATTTCGCCAGCCAGCGGCTCTATCACTCTCGTTGCGTCTCCTGTCTCCCGCCAATCTGCCTTCAAGTTCCGGCTTGGACAACAGCTGTCAGGGATCACAGAGAGAGAGAGAGAGAGAGAGAGAGAGAGAGAGAGAGAGAGAGAGAGAGAGAGAGTTGATCACGCCCGTGCTTCCCTCCGGCGGAAATGGTGGAACTCTGATTTCATTTGTTTACCCCGTACGACCACGAGCGATACAGGGAAGAGAAAAAAACGTGCGATACACACACACACACACACACACACACACACAGCGAGCGAGCGAGCGAGAGAGAGAGAGAGAGAGAGAGAGAG